AACTTGTATCTGAGGCGCCAACAGGGAAGAACATGGAAGAAACTACTGCCAGCGTCCTTCGGGACTGAAATGAGGGCGCCTTCGTCGGCCAAACCTCTGATGGTGAATCGAGCGTCAATTGTTGTTTGCCTGCTACCAGAGGGCAACTAGAATTGAGCATTGGAAAATCGAGGCTATTAACACCGGAAGGAGTCGCCGGAGGGTTTTCACTCACAAGGGGTCTTTTTTCGCGGTCCGTATCTTATCTCCATTGCCGCAATAAAATCGATATGCCCTCGCTCATTATCTCGCGTAAATGGCCTATTTCCGGTCTAAGGGGGTGTTTTTCCAAGTGCTAATAGCTTCCGGTCCAACTGCCGGATTTGGTTCAAATTATAACACAAGATGTATCTTGCCACTACCTATCATCCCTCTAAGTTTCAGCTCCCTGCGTTCATCGGAGGCCGAGAAACAACTTCCGGAAGTTACGAGTGGGTTTGTTTACTTTGGGCATAAAACCAGAAGTGGGGTCTTAAGGATCTGTCGTTCCAAACATAAGCTTCCCTCGACTAGGCCTACAATATACTAGAATTTGAGTCTATTCCAACCGCTAGTTACCGAGTTCTGATGAGGCCATTTACACTTCCGGTGGGCGTTATCACTTGACCCCCAAGGGTCTGAGGGGTCCCGTTTTTTGTATGTCCGGGTCAAACCATCTCTAGTATCGCTCCTCTGAATTTCATAACATTTCTTAGTTCCGATTTGGGGGGGGGGTTCGCCGATTTTATCAAATTTTATTTTCTGGCATAGGAGGGACGATATCTTCGAAGATTGAACTATTTCGAACTTTACCCTTTGTTTGCTCTACTGCTTAACATATTGACGAATCAATTTTACGCTCAGGTTACTATAGCATGTAATACAGTAGAATCACCAATTCTACACGCATAGTTTAGTCCATAACATGCTCGATCGGCAATTTTCAAAACCCCAGAAATGTACAAAAAAATAATCGGAGCGGAGGAAACCATCTTTTTGAATTTGAACTCAGAAAGTCAATATACTCAATAGAGGTAGAAAAAATTGTTGTTGAAAACTATTATTTCGATCGGGGAAGTTTCACTGAATGAAAAAACCACACTGAGCATAAATATTCCTTTATCTTCCAAAGTCGGAACAAAATAATGAAAATTTTTTTATTTTCGACAAAGTCAAAACTCTAGCGTAAAAAATTGAGTAGTTGGAATTTATACAATAAGCTAGCCTCAATTCTTTTTAAACAACTTTGCTGAGCGGGATAAATCGCCTCACATAAATAATCCGCGTTACGCTATCAGCATTATGAATAAAAATTTCAAAGCGCGCATGGCCGAACTGGCCCTTTTCAAACTCCCAAAACTTTGCAAAAACTGATGGAGGTTTTGTTCAAAATTATGATTTGAATCGCCGAAACATGGCCGAATATATAAACCACCCCGTGCATAAATATTCCTTTTTCTTCGAAAGTCGGATTAATTAAGTTCACTACAGAAGTCATTTCTAAATGTTTGCTAATTTGAGTTTTCCTATTTCAACTTTAGTTGTATCGAAAGAGATTGATGTTTGAAACTTAAAATAATGACAGTATAAAATGTTACTATTTTTCCCAAAGCTTGAATCATCATCATGTATCTATACCGAATAATAATCAACATAATGGAAAGAACTTTGACGTAGCATTTTAATTACTATCTCAAAGAAAAGGTTCAGAAAGTCAAGTAGGGCATCATTATTGATCCTATTTAGCTCTTACCCAGACTTGAAAAACGTCAGTATCGATAAAAATTTAATTTGAATATTTCAAGCCAATTTGACGACACTGGTTTTTATGACTCTGAATATGAGCCTAGTTTAAATCTAAATTATTTGTAGCAGCGTTTTACTAAGCATAAAATGTTAAAATTTTTGAAAAGAGGAAACATTCAGAAAAAGTTGCTCTCGATGTTTTTTGAATTTCATGTTTTTTGAACTTCATGTTTCGACTTTGCGTTCGACTTTATGCTTCAACCGACTCGACTTTATGTTTTTGTGCTCAATTATTAGGTCTTCTCGACTCCGGAACTTCGTTCCAACTTTAACTTGTGCTTGAGCCGCCTCGGTCAAAAGATAAATCACAAACCTCGACGGCCGAAGTTTCTATTGAGACAGATCGCTTTTTTGCTCTCGCAATTGCTGCACTGGAAGTACTTGCTCTGTGAATAAAAGGACGGAGAATGACAAAAGAACGTACTAAAAATGTTTATCAACCCGTATTTTGGTTTTTGGTGATCTCCGACCATGTGATTGATTCAATACACGCATAATGCTGTAACTTTCTTGCAAAATTATGGAATTAATAACAATAGACTGTGTTCCGTTTGGCTAAAAAAAAGTTGATAAACAGTTTTTTTTTACTGACAAATTAGAGTTCCGAAACAATTTTTGATAACTCAATTGATGACAAGTGAAGTAAGAAGTAATTTGTTTTGTTTTAATTGAAGAGCATTAACAAAATCCTCGCAGCAATTTCAAAGAAAAACTCGAAAATCACTGAAAATCTTAAATATTTTTCGATATATTTTTCTATGTTTATGATGCTTGCAATAATTTCCTTTTGCTTTGAGTTTAGGTTATCAATATTTTGAATTTTGAGTTTAGATCCGGAGTGATCTTCTCAAAGAGTAATTTCGGAGAGGGTATATCGTCTGTTCGTCTCTTCGGCCGGATAGATTCGTGCAACTTCTTAGTCTAATACCAATCCTAATCTTACTCTTAAATCATCTAGTCTCAATTGATCTAGAATATACTGGAATTTTTAGAGGTTAAAAAGGAGAGAAGAAAGCAACTGATTTCATTCTGTATTATATTTTCTCTGTCTGAAACTATGAAATGTTTCAGCTTTACAATTTATCGCAAGTTTTAGTAATGGATCATGATAAAAAAATAAATTATAAAAGGGGCCCTACTGTTCAGGTACGGTCGTGGGCAAGCTGGATAGGGCCCATAACAGCATTCTATAAACACATCAAAAAACAATATTGCAGGAACTAAATCAAGTCAGCATTTATTGCGTTGTCACTAAGATATTTACTTCAACGTCTCTCCTCTATAATAGCACTTTCAATTGTTTATGAATTGCGTTTTACGCAGTGATCTGCACCCCTGTATACAAAGGATAGCGCTCCCGAGCGGAGCGAAGCTTATCTTTGATCTTTTATATTTTTTTGCTTCTGAGTAGCCTTCATGCCTTTTTTTCACTAAGTTTTTCAGCTATGAGCTGAATTGTTCGCGTAGCTGATGGTGCGGCACCACCAGTGCAGCCAAAAAAGAGCGGGCCGAAGCTGCTCTGCTCATCGTGTAGAACTCTCTGTTGTTATTTTGAGTTTTTTATTGATTCGTGATTTTTATAGGCGAATCTTTAGATATTTATTTCAGTAATCTTCGTGAAGTTGTTGAGTGCAAGTTGAAGACTTTTGACATCAAAGAAGGTTCGGCTAAACCTTGAGCTCCATAATCCGTTTGCTTTTACATCTAGTCGAGCGCTTTCATCAGTTTTCGTTGAATTGTTGACAAAGCTCTCGCCTTGCAACGACTGAAGTTTCGGCTCGATTTCAACATCATAGCAAACCTCGCTCATGAAGTTGGCAAAGGTATCTCTGATTTCGTCATGCCTCATGTCGGTCTATCCACCCTTCGCACAGTGAAAGGCGTGGGTAAGGTCAAAAAGTTGACCACATGCGCATGTGAGTGGAATGTTGGTTGGTTCCCGTCCATATCTCAGATAAATTCCATCCCGGAATTCGGATTTTTTGAGGTTGAAATTATATATCTGCTAAGTTGCAACCAGTTTGAGGCTTCTTTTTCGGAGGTTAGCTCAGCGTATTTTTCACTTTCACTCGCGTTGTTCAAAAGCTTAGTTCTCTTTTGGTTTGTTCTTTCAGTTTTAAGTGCTTTAATTTTTGTTTACATTTTTTCTTGCTCAGATAAAGCTGTTAATCGATAGTATATGTCTTATACTGACGATGCTTTAATTGACCATTCTAAAACGCTCGCATAGTCAGAAAGTAGCTTGATATTTAGACCGCCCATTTTCAGTGGCAATAAAGCGATGTCTCTAAATTGATGGCTAATATTATTTTGATGGCTAGTAATGAATCATGATTGGATAGATATGAATATTTTGCGGTGATAAATGTCAAGGTTTATAATAAATACTTGTTTTGAACTGGTTCCAAGTTGCTACAAAAACACAAATCAACTTTTGTTTTCAAAAACACAGTTCAAAAGAAGCTCGATTGTTGCTGGACAAAAAGGCACCCCACGTATAATCATTCCTTCACGTTGGAAAGTCGGAGATATCACAAATTACAAAATTATTTTTTCTTCTTCTTCACAATTCGACGGACATAAAATGTCCGTCGAATTGTGAAGAAGAAAAAATAATTATTTGAACATTGACCAAGCATCGCAGCACAAATTTTGTCTGCGAGTTTAATTTGGTATTTAGATCTATTGTGTTGTTCTAAAAACCAAAGAAAAATTTTGTACTGTTTTTTAGAAAAAAGATAGATATATCTATGATTAGAAAAATGAAAGATATAAATGGCGATACTTTTTTAACTTTGATAATCTTTTTTATCATCTTTCAAAAACCTGATAGGTTTGTTAATTTTTCTCTTAATCTTTTCCACTCATCAATTCGTTTTAGATTTCATCACTGAGATCGTAATAATTAAAGCGGCTACATCAAAAAAAGTTAATTGGAAGCCAAATTAGCAATTGTCAGATACACTCCTTTATTTTGAAAGGTCATCCACTTTTTTCGAAACAAATTACTCTGATTAGAACATATTTTCCCTGAAAAAGTTATTTGGCGCAAATTAAGATCGAAATTGGTGGTTTAATTTGTTCCGAATAATTTAGCTGTACATCAACTGATAAGCACAGCGCTGAGGTTTTTAATTGCAGATAAAAACCCTTTGATGGTCATTAAAACTCGGGGGAAAAGGCACGAATTGAGGCAGCCATTGTTCTGTCTAGGAATGGGCTCTAAAAATAGTCATTTTCCATTTTCCTAAAAATTCTGAACATTTTAGGAGAAACTAGGCCACAATATAGCAAGGTTTGCCTTACCGTTTGCAGTTTTGTAATGTCCGAGGAACTGATCACTGAAGTAAGTATAAACAATTTTGCTAGAAAGTTTTTTTTTTAATTTTATTATAAAAATAATCGTTTTTTTATTTCTCTCAGAGTGTTTCAAACTAACTTTCTATAAAAATTTTTTTCAAATAGTTGCTGGAATTGTTTACTGATGTATTCAAAAAAAGGTATTTTTAGTTCATTGTAAAATTTACTGTGAGGAATTACAAAATCTGTACAAATCTTGATATAATCTATACATAATCTCTAGATATTTAGTCTACAATCTGTAGTTGAGTTGTGCGCAACTTGTAAAAAGTTTCACAAAATCTGTTTGTATAGAATTTGTATAAAAAAGTTCACTAAAATCTCGATAACTTGCAGGTTGTTTCTATCAAAATATAGACCAAAAATGGATTTAGTTAACTATTGATTCTATTAGCGCAGGCTAACCATTGTTGTTTCGACTTTCGATACGAAAGTAACGGAATATTTTTGCTCGGGGTGGGTTTTTTTCTTCATGCAAATTTCGACATTTTAACTAGCCATTCTTGACGGATTTTTTTTTGTATCATTCGAAAGGGATTGTTGCCCTGAGCTTAAATTTGAAACGATATTTTATCTGTGATTATTTTTTGTAAGGTTATGAGGGCTTAAAAATTGCCATTTTGGCCGATTTGGGACAATTAACGCGCGATATATTTTGCGCTATCAACGCGTAAGCGGAGATTTAATGCGTCTCAGAAATTGTTCTAAATTGTTAGTTGAAAGAAGCTTGCTTGTTACAATGAGCGAAATCCATCCTTTTGTACTTTATATGACGTGTGGGAAATGATTTTCATAAAAAATCTCAAATTTTAGAAAAAAAAATCATTTTATTCTATTACACTTAATTTTTTTATGTTATTACTGCTCCACAAACTTTAAAAGGCAGTCGGGACATTCAGAGCTTTGCCCTGATACGAGCAGTCTTGTTGGTTGTTTCAAAGAGATATCTATATCAAAACTGTTTATTATACTGGCAGTTATCAAATTTGTAAGTTCTGTTTTTTAAAAGATTTTTTGTTCATCACAAAAAACTGGTAGGATGTCGAATAAGGTATGATAATAAAGCCTTATCAACCGGAAACCGAATACTTAAAAGAATAATAATCGAAATACTAAAAAAAATGCTTTTTCAGATTAATGATATTTTCACACTAGAAGCTTCTTACAAAAACTCCATACTAAATTTTCTGGGATACTTTTCAAAATTATTACCTGATTTTATTGCTCAATAAGCAATCAAATACTCTTTTAGTATTTCAAAAAATGAGCGAAGCAAAAAACCTATTTTTATTTTTTTTTTGTTTTTTTAACTTTAAGTATTTTGTTTCCAATCATAATTTCCGACCAAAATCATGAAACAAGGATAGCCGGTTACTTTGCAAGTATCACAGAATGTTCCTATCATAGCCTTAAAAAACATGTGCGTGTGGCAAGATAAAAACATCAGAACGAAAAAAAAACAGAAATTGAGCACATTCGACAGTCATGTACTCAAATACGCCGGTTGGAAAACAATTTTTTTAGAGATCCGCTAACGAAGACTAAAACTAAATGATATATTTTCTTAAAATTTTCAAAAAAAAATTATAACTTTTGCTGATTTTTTTTATCTTCTTGAAATTTCTTATTCCCAAAATGACGCTAAAAAACTAAAAAAAGCAAACTTTATTCGATTAAAACAAAATTTTTGCGACATAAAAAAAGTTGAAATAAGCTATTGTAAGCCTGCACACTCACCTTATTAGTTGGAAATTAGACCAAAAATCAAAGATTTTAAACCGGTTTTTCCGGACTTTGAAAAAAGTTTTTCACAATTTTTTTATGTCGTTCAAATAACGTCTGAAATGGCTGATTAGTAGTTCCCTCGGCTAATTAGTAGTTCCAATTTGCATGGAAAATAAAATTAAATAAAACTATAATACCGCCACATACAAAAATTCTTCACAATTTTCAATCGGCCGGAATGAAAAAAAACTTGAAATTCTTTTTTAAACAAATTGTGTGTCGATTTTTCTGCACAGTATAAAAAAAGCAACTACATGAAAACTTCAAGATAAAATCCAAGATAAAAACAGTTGCACTTGAAAGATTGATCACAAAACAAAAAATCAAAGCGTCTCAAAAAAAGCAAGAAAGTGCTAAATGAAACTTTAAAAATAGTTTTTCTATTTTACGACCAAATTCAGAGGGTTCTATTACAAAACATAACCTGGCTCAAAATTGGGCTAAAAGCCAAAATTTTCAAACCAGTTCTTTTCGACGTTTTTTTTGTTGTTCGAATCATTAAAGAAAAGGCTTTTAGCTGAGAAAACTCTCGAAACATACTAACTTTTATTTGCGGTATCCGAGTTTGGAGAAAAGGTTAATTTGTTTTTTAAAAAAGTTTGCAATCAAATGAGATTTTTTCCTCACGATTGGAAAATCAAGCCAGTAAAAAACATCATAAAATTTTCAATGTCATTGAAGCTGCCCACCCAAACCAAATTGTAAGTTTACAATCTCGGCCAATATTGAAAATTGTTAATTGATTTCTGAAATCAGATTCAGGTGCCAAATTTGATTTATTCTTACGTGAACATGAACACAAGCCGTTACGTAGTCAATGGCAGACAAATTTAATTTTTTTGACCGCTACACATTAAGTTATTGCATCTCATTTAGTTTTAGCCAGCTTTTTTGATATAAAGCGTTCAACAGAAACCATATTAGAAAATATTTCACTACTTCAGAAGGCATTTCAGAAAAAATTCAAAACTCTGCATTCATGTAAAAATCGAAAGTCGGAGAAAATTACCAGATACAGGGGTGGATTTCGACCCCCTGTAGACCCAAAGAGTTCTTCCCCTTTTGGTAATTTTTACGAAATCAATTTTTGGTCGACCGACCCTAAAAATTTTCTAAAGGTGCCTTTGTCGCCAGTTTATACTAACTTTGAGGGGGAGCGCGCGCCAAAAAGAAGCATTTTTTTTGTCAAAATTTACCAAAAAGTGCCCAAAAACGGTTTTTAGTGTCTTTTTAGTGCTTTAGGAGAGCTCGGAAAACCAATTTGGTCGACCTAAAAAAAAAGGTCGTCAAAATTTTTGAAAATTTTTTGAAAGTCCGCCCCCCCCTCCAGAAAATCCTAGATCCGCCCCTGACGAGATAGGCTTTCAATCTTCATGAAGATTTTTGATCAATATCACCATCTGCACTGAGCTCTCATGCTACTTTGTCTGAAAATATCTGGAAGAGTATAAGTTAATTTAGATGTTTTGGGATGTTTTCGCTTTTTTTGTAAAATCTAAATTGACCAAGGTTTTCGGGCACAAATGTAGACAAATTTTTCAAAAAAATCCGCAGACTCTTGTGAACATACTAGATCCGCCCGTCTTGTGTTCGGTTTTTTGTATCCGTGATGTAGTGGTTGTTTCAGATAGTCCGTTTTCAACTAAAAGAACCGGGTACTCTTGCACAAAATGCTAATCCTTTATTCGGTCTTAAAATTCAAGCCAAACTTGCGCATTTTTTGAATTTATAGCATGGGCGGATCTAGGATTTTATTGAGGGATGGGGGGGCATTTTTCAAAAAAAAAGATTTTAGGTCGACTTAGATGATTTGCGAGCTCTCCCAAAGCACTGATTTATAGTCTGATCTCTTTTTTTTTATTTCAGACAATAATCAACAGCTCGTTGGTTCTCGACGAGAATGACAATGGATACGGCTACTTCTATTCGGGGGAGTCTTGGGAAGATGCCTACCCTGATGCTGCTCTGTTCGTGTTTGCAATGAAAATACTCTGTTCGACCATTTCGCTCTTCGGCTGCGTGGGAAATGTGTTCACTATGGTCGTCATTTCAACCTGGGATCGAATCTCGTCTGGAGCTGGATTCATGTGGGCTCTGGCTCTGACAGGTGAATTATGTCCTCTGCCATATTCCAACTTTTTTGTGAAAAGCTTTAAGCATCATTTTTAAAATGAAATTTAAATCACAATGTAAAACACTGGAAAATGCATACCATGACTCAAAGGTGGCTTTAGGGAATGAGTTGAAGTTGGCAACGCAAGGAAGTCAACCTCCCAAGAATTTGAAATCGGCCTTACCGACCATTTTACCACATCCATTTTTGCAGGCTAACCCTAGAACTTTTCTCAAGGCACATACATGTTTTTCGTTCAATGTCTTAGGAGAGCTCAGAAAATCAATTTGGGATTTACCGCAAAAAAACTAAGTTCGCCCCTGCCATGAAGCGTTGTTTGGGCAGTTGAGCCATTATGTATTTTTGATAACTCATTGTTAACTTGATATGCAATTTAAGAAAATAATTTCATTTTTTATAAACTTAACAAAAAAATGTTAGGAAATAATATTTTAATGCATTTTTTTAACTTAGAAAATAAAAAAATTGCATCAAAAATTTATTTCTTAACATTTATTTGTTAAATTTATTTAAAATGAATTTCTCTTCTTCTTACATTGCAGTTTGAAAAAAATCAAGCAAATCACAGCAACAAAGCAAGAACTGTTTCTCTTGTGTAGACCTGCTCTCGGTGTTCTACGACGGAATCCTGGACACGCTGCTGTCTCTGTTCGACATCTCGGTCGCATCGCTCGGGGGTGACGTCATGTGTGCATCGTTCAAGTTCTTCTCGTGGATAACCACCACCTGCTCCTACTACATGACTGTACTGTTCAGGTATAAACACAATGCGACCCGGGTAGCGAGTAGTTGTATCATTAGTGCCGAACGTTCCGACCACCCGCACACACTGGTAATTGTACGAAAAGAACCTTAAAAATCAGAGAAAGAATCAATTTTTATTTTAAAACTTTTTCAGAATTTTTTTCGGCGCATTTACAGCACCAACAAGAAGCTTAATTTATACATATAATAAATTTTTTTTGGATGAATGTATGTCTGTGGTCGAACTGCTAGGATAATAATTGCTCGACTATGAAATTATACATATATGTGCACATGAAAACGAGGAGTGCTATATTGACTATTTCACTTTTTATTTTTGGCCTGATTTCCCCGAACAAAGTCAAGTGGTCGAAAAATCGAGTTACGTGAATTCTTCTTTCTATGTTTTGCTTATCATTTCTATACGATGTTTGTAAATAAACACATCCATTTTTATAAATAACTTGATTTTCATTTTGATTTCCGTTTTCAACACAATTGCTGACGAGAAAGCTGATGAAAATATTCTTGTAGTTATTGTTTTGCGGTACAAAAATTGTGAATTCATTTCAAAAAGAAGTGTGGAGCCCTGTTATGGCTAAAATGATTGCAAATACGGCATTGGAAAAGATTGTGAAAGATTCAAAGAGCGATACTAAGAGTTACAAAGGAATTATACCAGGTTTCGAAAGCTTTGACATTTTTTTGCGAGAATGACAGTTACGTTCAGTTTTTTTCCTCAAAAACTTAAAATGCAAGCAGTTTAAAATTTTTGGAAAACGAATGGAACTAAACAAAACTTTTCATCCGTTACTCAATCAGCAGCTACAAAATCAAGTATGGCCAAATTGAAATTCTTCAAAGATTGAACGTTTCGGGCTCAAATATATACAATCTTTTTCTTCAAAAGTCATTTTAATAGCGGTTCAGAAATGAAAGTTTATTTTCAATCAAAGTATAAGGAACTGAACATCTGGAGATCCGCTCATGACATTTAGGTTAAATTTTTGAGGAGTTCGACCAATTCGAGCGCCTGGACTCGGGTTAGGTCCCCGTTGAGACCCTTAAAAGCATCCTTACTTCTAGCTCGATGTTCAATTCTTCTGCTAACGGTACAACTGAATTCCTTTTCTTGTGCTTTAGCCTGGATAAGTGCATCGCCGTGATGTTTCCCTTCAAATACCGAGTGTACGGGAAGGTGAATTTGTGTGTAGCATCTACAGTTGTCGTCTATCTGTTCAGTGCAATTTACTCCATTCCGGCTGCTGTCTGGTATCGTGTTGATCCCAGGAACCAATTTTATTTTAAGCTCCCCCCTCCAAGTAAAATCAAAAATCAAATCATAAGTACAGTTAAGTCAAAAGTAAGAATAAATAATTGATCTCATGCAACGAATCATGGTGGAGTTAGGAAGACCGGGAGGGGAACCCATTTTTTCAAATATTCGACCCCCCTCCCCACCACCCAGTACTATTTTCGATAACTATTTCCTCTTATGGTACTATTTTAACGACATCCGTTTTGGGTCGAAATACGTACTAATTTTGAGGGAGAGCCTATTTTATTTCTAGTCAGCTTCTCCGATATTTTGCTTGCGGCGCAGAAATTGTTAGCAAAATAGGGTCTTTATAAGTGCTTTCGGAGATCTCAGAAAATGAATTTGGTTGATCTAAAAGAAAAAAGGCCGACCGATAATAGGCCGACGGTCGAGGGGGGATGGGGGGAGGCAGCGGATTTCCAAAAAAAAAAATTTGAAAAATTTGTCGACCTTTTTTAGGTCGACCAAATTGATTTTCTGAGCTCTCCCAAACTACTATGGCAAACAAGAACATTATAGTTCAATGACAACATTTTCAACTTTAGTTAGAACTAAAAAAAACAATTTCGAATAAATGGGTCTTGAGCACTGTTCGATCCCTTCAAAAAATTGATCCGCAGTACTGGAGCCTAAAATTAAATTGATCCGTGTAAGATTCAATATTTGTCGACCGATGAACTTCGCAGGGGCATTTTCCAGAGCGTATCAAGAATTCGCGCCAATTTTTGGCGTGTATTTCAGTGGTTTGATCCCGCTAGTTGCTGTGGCTATCTTCACTTCAATCGTCATTCTGAAATTGTGGCATCAAACTCAAAAACACATCGCAAGACGCACCAACAATTCAGCAGGAATGAGTCGAAAGGTCGTCAGTTAAGTTCAAGCAGACATAAAGCAAATTTCTTACGAATGCGGGTTTTTTCTCAACTGAGTGAGTGATCAATTTTTTCTTGAGTTTGCATGCAAAAACTGACCATTCTATGCATTTAGAAAGAGTTGCAAAATGTCTCCACTAGTGAATGTTTTTTCAATAAGGCAAGAATACTGAATCGACTAGTCTCTATATGCTCAAAAAAGCACAAAATTATTTTGAAAGTTTCTCATACAAATTTGCGAATGTAGTCTAAAAATGGAGTCAAATATGCGTGATTTGTTTCGTCTTTCGAAACGACGGAATATTTGTGCTCTATTTGTTTTTTCCTCAATTGGTCAGTTTCAACTTTTTGAACTAGTGATCATGGTATTTCTTATCATCACCTGAAAAGTGCTGATGTCCCGAGCTGAAACACATAAAGATATTTTATCTGCGATTAATTTTCGTTAAATTATGAAGTTATGGGGTTTGAAAATTGTCAATTTAGCTAGTTTGGGATAATTACAACGCAATTTGTTTCGGTCTATTGAAAGGTTAGCGGGGAACTAAATCAATACCTCACTCAAAAAAAGTCGCAGTCTAGTTTCTGGAAAAAAATTTTATTGCTCGGATTTTTGAAGAGAGAGACGGAAATTTATGCTCATGATGGTTTTTACCATCAGACAATTTTCGACTTTTCAACTAGCCATTTTTGACGACATTTTCAAATTATCATCTAAACTTTAAAAACTGCCGATGAAAACATTTAATAAAATTGCTACTCGTTATTATGTTCCGTAAATTTACAGGGGTCCGAAATTAGCCAATTTGGCTAATTTGTGACAATTGACGCGTGCCGTTTTTTGTGTTATCATATGTGAGCGGTTATTTCTTCCAGTCATAAATCGAACCAAACTGAATTAAAGAAAAATATTTGTTTTTCAAAAAATGTTATCATAAACATCAGTTTACACTTGGCAAAATGTATGGAGTGAAGTTTTTTGTTCCGACTTTTGTAACGAAAGTAACGGAATATTTGTGCTCGGGGTGGGTTTTTTTTTCTTCAGACAAATTTCGACTATTTTAACTAGCCATTTTTGACGGAATTTTTTTATATCATTCGAAAGCTATTGTTGTCCTGAGCTTAAACTTGAAAAGATATTTCACCTGTCATCATTCGTAAGTTATGGGGGTTTAAAGTTTGCCATTTTGGCCAATTTGGGACAATTAACGCGCGATATATTTCGCGCTATTAACGCGTAAGTGGAGATTTAATAGGTCTTAGAAATTGTTCCAAATTGGTTGAAGGAAGCTTATATACCATAATTGATTTGTTAATAGGAGCGAAATCCATCACTTTGTACTTTATATGGTGTGTGGGGGGATGATTTTTACAATTTTCACATTTTAAAATCTCAAATTAAAAAAAAATCAATTTTTATTAGATTTAATTTTTTCATGTTATTACTGCTCCATAGACATTAAAAGGCAGTTGGAACATTCAGGGCTTCGCCCTGATACGAGCAGTCTTGTTTGGATTTGTTTCCGACTACTTCAAATACTGAACTTAAATTGGGGTTCATAACACTCGATATATTACATTCCATTAATGCGTAAGTGGAAAATAAACCCTTCAAAATTGAAATTGGGCTAGCAATTTGCTTTTATCAAACGTTACCAGACGCAAAACATAGCAATTTGTACAAATTGTTTGGGGGATTAATAGAGAAAAGATGGAAGCAGAATGATTGATAATATTTTCCAAAACTTCCTTCAATAGGAGGGTTTGAAGGAAGTTTTGGAAAATATTATCAATCATTCTGCTTCCATCTTTTCTTTATTAATCCCCCAAACAATTTGTACAAATTGCTATGTTTTGCGTCTGGTAACGTTTGATAAAAGCAAATTGCAAACCCAATTTCAATTTTGAAGGGTTTGTTTTCCACTTGATAATATTTTCCAAAACTTCCTTCAAACCCTCCTAAACCGACATTTTTTTTTCATCGGGTTAAAGGGGCATTAAAGAATTCAAGACTTCTCCTTGCAGCACAAAATTTTGTTTTTTTTTCAAAAAGAAATTTTATGGAAAGACATCTGCTGTTTCTGTTCCGACCACTTTACTAAATGAAAGGAAGGAACTATAGCTTGGGATGTTTTTTTTCTGCATTTTCTAGGGCCTTTTTTTACTTCGATTTTGACCTCAAAAAAATCTCATAGAAGGTCAAGTACTCTATTAAAGCACAATGCTCGTGATTTGGGTTCCAAAAACTCTAAAACGTCTCTCAGTGCCAAGAAAAACATGTCTGTATTTCTGTTTTTTTTCGGACTAGGTACGAGTTTGAAAAATGATATGCAAAAACGACTGAACTCTCAATTTATTTTTACTGCAAAATTAAGTTTTTTCGATATTATGACCACTCAGTTTCGTTTTTTTTTCAAAAAAAGGCAAAAAATTGCGAAAAGTTTCTTCTAAATGTTGAATTTGTTTTCTGACATTCAATGCGGTTGGAACATTCCGTTTCGATTTTGCTTTACTGCAATATTTTTTCCGAATTCCAAAAAAAAACTGAAAATATATGTTGGGGTTGTATTTTTTCTTTACAACAATTTTGTTTATTAAAGCAAGCGAAGTCTGGACCCAGTTTTCTTACAATTTTATATGGTATCAATTTTTAAAAACTCAAATCATCAAAGCGAAGCTTTGAATGCTCCAACTGAGTATTCAAACTAGTTTTACAAAAAGAACTAAAAATGGCACTGAAATCATTGGTAGTACTGGGCTGATAGAAACAGTTCGTTTTTTTTATAAATCACCTTGGAAAAATCATAGCTTTTTCTTGTGCTGCTCATAATTTTTCCGACTAAATAAAGCTAGTAAAAAGTCTAATGATCAAATTGCATTAAAACTGTTTCTTGCAAATGCAACTGTAATTGGTATATTGTTTGTTCTTATCAATAAAGCCTACTTGAACTTTGGTAGGACATTGAAATGACCCGGCAAATGATAATAGTCGGAGTCATTTTCGCGATTTTCTGTCTCGGGTTTACGATTTGTATTCGACTTAAGCTGGACATCGGACGGGAGACCCTAGCAGAGGAAGTAAAGCACCAAGTGCTCACTTCTATCCAATGCAATCTTCAGTCTGTAACCAATTCGGCCAATTTTCTCATCTACGTCATCTTCGGCCGAAAATTCAGAGAGGATTTCTTGCGACTCTTTGAACGAAAAAAACAGGTAGCAGGCAATTCTCGGGGCGCTGCACGTCCAACCACTGAGCAAAAAGGACGACAATCAGTCAGCAAAAATGAACTCCCTTGATCTGATAAATCCCTATTTCGACTCTTTAACCCCCCCCCCCCACCGCCTCTGATTTGAGCTTTATGAAAATTACGTTAACCTTGCCCGATTGTTTTGAAGTTTGGCATGCAAATAGCAATTACCCATTTCCAAACACAGTCCATCCTCATCTACTAGCTAGTAAATTCAATGACTCACGAATACAACCTGTTTTAGATGCTAATGTGAGGGAGGAGGTGGATTAATGAGTCTTTGATACTTTCCTGATTGCATGCAATCGAACTGACACCTATCCCTTTTAAAAATTATCCTGACACTCACAACAAAAATTAACGCTCCTCAAATCTTGTTTCCAACATGACCGGCCTCAGTCACGAAATTTCAAACAAAAATTTGCGTTCGATTTGCGTTTCGATAAAATTTTCTACTATATTAAAGTATATAAAGATAAAATCTTAAAGTGTAACCTGCCTTCTTAAAGTGTAATGCAAATCGTATACAGGATCGCCAACGAGAAAACCTGCTCCGTGAGTCCCAAAATGAAATACAAGCATTTTTTTCTATTAACGACTCCAAATGGTCACTCCAAAACAGTGCTAGAAAACAATCGACTAGAACATAAATCATGAAACTAAGTCGTCAGTCTTTACATAAGCAAATTAAAAAGTGGCAAAACACAGTTACCATTTACATCGAAAATTTAAGTTGTTTTTTGCTGACCTAAACATTTTTGCTTAACGACAAAAATTCTCTCCCCAAACAACTAGGTAGAAAACAATGGAATAAAAATAAAACTTCAAGTTCAGAAAAACTCTTTCTGAACTCTTTCTCAGTTTTATACTTCTAATATCATTTAATTATATAATGATCCATGCAAGGGCGGATCTAGGGTTTTCTCCAGGGGGGGGGGGGGGG